CATGTCTAAACTAGAGCTGAGTGTGGCAAATTGCAAACCAAAGGGACTGATTTTTGCCTCCAGAGACATTGTGTCTGCAATTCTGAATAAATTCCTCTGGATGCTATAGTGTCTCTGAGCATCTGGCCTGAGTTTTGTTTTGTTTTTTTTCTCTCTAGAGTTAATAATTGAAGAATTGAAAGTTGAAATCATACAAGCTCAATATTGTCTATAAAGTGTATTTATTATTAAAACAATATTGTAAACATGAAGCAGATTAGACTCTAAATGTGATTTCAAGGAATAAAATACTATCCACAGTGAGAACAAAGAACAAGGTGTTTTAACATCTTCCTCAGTTGTTTTCCCTGGGATTGGTGGATTCTCACCTGGCTTCACCTTGGCCTGCTTCCTTCCTCTCACAGTCTGAAGTTCTTTGCACAAACTTCTTTAAGGATGTGCCAGCTCTCCTTGCTGCTGCTTTGAGGCTTGACAGCCAAATGCCAAGTAATTCCCTTTAAACTGAAGATTTTCAGCCGCTATACTTGGCTTTCTTTTCTTGGTAGCCTAATTTAACCCCCCGCCCCCGCCTTTTTTTGGAGATGGAGTTTTGATCTTATCGCACAGGCTGGAGTGCAATGGCCAATCTCAGCTCACAGCAACCTCCACCTCCCAGGTTCAAGTGATTCTTATGCCTCAGCCTCCTGAGTAGCTGGGATTACCGGCACCTGCCACCACACCTAGCTAATTTTTGTATTTTTTGTAGAGACAGGGTTTTGCCATGTTGGCCAGGCTGGCCTTAAACTCCTGACCTCAGGTGAGCTGCCCTCCTCAGCCTCCCAAAGTACTGTTATTACAGGTGTGAACCACTGCACCTGGCCGTAATTTAACTCTTTTTACTAAAACAGTCTTAGGATCAGAGTGTGTTTCCATACGTTTCTCCAATGGTACTTCTTTCTTTCTTTTTTCTTTTTTTTTCTTTCTTATTTTTTTTTTGAGATGAAGTCTAGCCCTGTCGCCCAGACTGGAGTGCAGTGGCATGATCTCAGCTCACTGCAACCTCCACCTCCAGGGTTCAAGCGATTCTCCTGCCTCAGCCTCCTGAGTAGCTGGGACTATAGGTGCGCATAACCACATCCAGCTAATTCGTACTTTAGAATTGATATTAAACTCATGTGGCGTTCATGTAGGCTGAAATGGTCCTCCTTCTTTTTGCTTCTACCCAGACACAGGGCTGTCTTTGCCATTACTCCTGACTCCTTCTTCTTAGTATTTGCTTGATGTGACAATCACCATGTATGTACGTGTCCTTCACCCTGGGAAACTCTTTCAAACAATAGGTTGGTTTTTTTTCTTGTTTTGTTTTTGGTTTCTGCCATACCCAGGGTGATAGGAGGGAAGACATTAAAAAAGACATTATTTTTCACTATATACACATAACAAAAAGAAGAAAAGAACACTGTCATCACCGAATACAAAAAAGTACGTGAATTTCCTATGGACATTTTTTTTCTTTTGGTGGATATTAATACCATAAGGACAGTAGATTGTGTAACAAGAGACTACTGGATACAAATTAATGTTTAGCAGTTTTATTAACATTAATTTTTTATAATTAGAATTACATTAATCTCAGTACGGTAATTAAGTCCAGAATTTTGATATTATTCAATTTTGTTACAAATAATTTGGAATGTTCGATTACTCAAAGTACTGCTTATGATTTAAGCATGTGGATGAATGTTTTTCACAGCCAAAACTTAGTAATGCTATTCAAGGGCAATAAGCTATTAAATAGGCAGAAATTTGAAATCAATTATTGCTCGATTTCAGATGTCCGAAACAATAGAATCTCAAGTACATATTGAACTTCTCAAATGGTCATGCACTCATCACTGTGGAGTAAAAAAGGAAGGAACGAGGGAAGGGAGGAAGGGAAGGAAGAAAGAAGGAAAAAAAAAAGAAGGAAAAAGGAAAGAAAGAAAGAAGTAAAAGAAAGAAGGGAAAAAGGAAGGGAAAGGAAAGGAAAAAGGAAAGGAAAGGAAAGAAAGAAAGATAAGCATGTTCTTTTAGTGACAGCTTTATGTAATGAAAAATGATTCTTCTGGGCTGGACTTGGTGGCTTACACCTGTAATCCTAGCACTTTGGGAGGCCCAAGGAGGGAGGATTGCTTGAGCTCAGGAGTTCAAGACCAGCTTGGGCAACATAGCAAAACCTCATCTTTACTAAAATTCCAAAAAAATTTAGCCAGATATGGTGATGTGTGCCTGTAGTCTCAGCTACTTGGTGGGGCACTGAGGCCAGTGGATCTCTTGAGCCTGGGAGGTTGAGGCTGCAGTGAGCTATCATCATGCCACTGCACTCCAACCTGGGTGACAGAGCGAGACCCTGTCTCAAGAAAAGAAAAAAAGAAAAAGAAAAAAATTATTCTGTAACATTATCGTGTAATGCTCATGTGATAGTACTACCTGCATTTTAATCTAATTGTTTATTTAATTGTCTATCTTCACTCAATTATAATGTTTGTATAGGCAGGGATCATGCTTTTCTTGCTTATTCTTGTGATCCCTAACACCATGCTTGCCATAGACAAATTGCCATGTATCTCTACCTCTCTATTCACTGAATGATGTTCGTTTCCCTGATATCCCTGAAATTATTATTATTATTATTATTTTTAATAGAAAAAGGGCAACATGCATGACTATATAGGGGGGTCTGTTAGTAGGGTCTGGCCCAAGTATCCAACAATACTAAAAACCAAGTGTGTTCCTACCTTGGCTCCTCCTTCCTAACTCTCTTGAAATCTCAGCCTTTCGAATCTTTGCCATGCTGATGGTAAAGAAAGGCATGCCAAGAAAAGAAGGGATGTGGGTGGGGTTTTGCCTAAGATTCCCTAGAGAGCTCTTAAAAATACTGACTCACAGGCCCCACCCAGCCCATGAACTTCTGTTTCAATTGATATTGAGTGATGTCCAGAGAATCACTATTTTAAAGGCTCCCAGATGATTCAGTGTTCAGCCTGGGTTGAGAAACAGTTGGTCTAGCTAGTCAAATCAACCTACTTTAGTTGATTTGATCACAAGCTCCCAAGTAGGAACAGTGGTGGTGTGACTGACTCACATTACCAGAGTATAAGGGAGTGCCCATAATTAAAGCTCTACCCTTGCCCCAACACTGTGGTCCAATAAATGTCAACATTTTTGATCCTGGCCATTCTGGTGAAGGAGAGCCTGGGAGTGAAGGAAGGGATGGAGGGAGTAATGAAGAACAGACCCTGCCTTTGCGGTTAGAGTCAAAAACATTCATTGAACCATCATTAAATAGGTACTTGTTGAGGACCTACTATTGGCCAGGTACCAAGCCCTGTGACTACACCAGTGAAAAACACCAGCCAAATCCCTGCCTTCACAGAGGTAACTATATTCTAGGGGCCAAGACATAGAATAGACAAATGGTTATATCAATGTCATTGATATCAATGGATAGTATGAGAAGAAAATTAAAGCAGTGTCGAGTAGAGTGAAGGGGACAGAGTAAGGGTGAGACAGGTTGGTTGGGAAAACAGCTCTGAGCAGAGGATGTCTGAGTTGAGACCTGGATGAAGAGAAGGAGTAAAGGTAAGACTGATGTGAGAGCTGGGGGAACATCAAGGGAAATAGCTCCTGAGTTGAGGATGCTCTTGGCATGTTCAGAATTAACAAGAAAGTCCTTGGGGTGAGAATGAGCATATGGTGTAGGGCCTCAGAGGCCAGGGATAGGACTCTAGGATTTGTCTCAAGTGTGATACAAAGCTTTTGGAGAATAGTGAGCAGAAGATGGATTGATCTAATTTTATTTTTAAAATATTGCTCTGACTGATATAGGGGATATAGTCAATACATATCCTGATAGTAAGGAAAATGGATTATAGGGACTAAGATTAGAAGAAGGACCATGATTTGGGAGGCCATTGCATGGTCCAAGTAGTCGAGAGTAGCTTAGATTAGGATTGTAGCCATGGAGGAGGGAGAAACAGTAAGATGTGGGATATATTTGAAAGTAGGAGTGGCGAAGACTTGCTGATGCATTCAGTGTTGGGTGTAAGAAAAAGAGAAAATTCACCTGGGCTGGTTATAGTATTTACTGTAAACTGAATCCTGAATGCTTAAATACTGTGAGATACATAGTGAGCCCTCAATAAATGTTGGCTATGATCAAACATCCAACTGAGAGTGTTAAATAGACCATTGACCATTAAGTCTGCAGCTCAGGGAAAGGATAGAGCTGGAGATATACATTTGGGAGTCACCAGGGTATGGTGGGATTTAAAACCATTGGACTAGATGAAATCAAGAGTGTGAGAATATAAAGCTGAGAGTGAAGTTCCAGAGCATTTCAACATGTGGAGACTGAGAGCCAAAGAGGAGAACCCAGAAGAGAAGGCTGAGAGGGAAGGGCCCATGAGATTGGAAGAAATTTTGGAGCATGGCAAGACCTCGAAGTCAAGTGAAGAAAGTATTTTAAGGTGGGAATCGACTAAAATATTGTTGACAAGTATTCAAAAACAGTGGAGTATGAGAATGACCATTGGAGGTTGTGGGTGACCTTTTTAAGCTCTGAGCTGCAAATCTGTAGGGGGTTCCTCTGGCATTTCTTCAAGTCACTTGCTCTTTCTTGGAGGAATGTCTTAATCTTGGCTTGTTCTTCTTTTTCACTTTTCACATAGCTTTTCATTATCTTGCTCATTCTGTGAAGCAAGTAACTAACTCTGCTTACCTTTAAAACTGAAGAAGTTTTATGTTAAAGACTAGCCCCATTCAGGAATCATGAGCTAAGCTTTCTGCAACAATAATACTTATTTACTAACCACTCAGGCTATTATATAAATGCCACTTACATGAATACATTGAGAAGTGGGCATGAAAATGGCCATTATTTACATAAATAAAATATTTTAATTTTAATTTAAAATTACATGTGAATTTCACATGATAAACTAGAGTTTAAGATGCCAATAACTCTTGAATTATAATTTTAGGAGAGAGAATGCTGCAGTTTGGAAAGTGGTGCTTGGCATCAACAATCTAGACCATCCATCAGTGTTCATGCAGACACGCTTTGTGAAGACCATCATCCTGCATCCCCGCTACAGTCGAGCAGTGGTGGACTATGACATCAGCATCATTGAGCTAAATGAAGACATCAGTGAGACTGGCTACGTCCGGCCTGTCTGCTTGCCCAGCCCGGAGCAGTGGCTAGAGCCTGATACGTACTGCTATATCACAGGCTGGGGCCACATGGGCAATAAAAGTAAGCCAGTGTATTAGTCCATTCTCATGTTGCTATAAGCACATACCTGAGATTGGGTAATTTATAAAGGAAAGAGGTTTAATTGAGTCACAGTTCTGCAGGGCTGGGGAGGCCTCAGGAAACTTACAGTCATGGTGGAAGGGGAAGCAAACATGTCCTTCTTCACGTGGCAGCAGCCAGGGGAAGTACCAAGCAAAAGGGGGAAAAGCCCCTTATAAAACCATCAGACCTCGTGAGAACTCACTATCAAGAGGGTAACTGTCCCCCATGTTTCAATTATCTCCCACCAGATCCCTCCCATTACACATGGAGATTATGGGAACTACAATTCAAGATGAGATTTGGGTGGGAACACAGCCAAACCATATCAGCCAGGATCTTCAGGAGCCTGAGAAACACTGTGTTCCTCAGTTGGGAGGCTGAGGTGGGAGGATTTCTTGAGCCTGCAAGGTGGAGTCTGCAGTGAGCCGAGATCTCACCACTGCCTGGGTGACAGAATGAGACCCAGTACCTAGAACCAAAAACTAGGTTGCTTTTGGCCATAATTTCCCATTTTCTCTTACAAAAAGATAGCCACAAATGGTAAATACTTAGCGATGTATCGCACTTCATTTGCTGTGCGAATCATAGATAGACATTAATAATGAACCATGGCATTTAAAATGGTCAAGCTCAAATGCAGTCTCCAAAAATCCCACTCCACACCTCAGAATCTCTCTCCAGGGAGCTACTATAAATGTTTTGGAGCTTCCTTGTGGCAGGAGGAGACCTGCCACAACTGTGCTTTGGACTGTCTCTAACTGCCTGAAGATAGCCCAATGATAGAGACAGTCACAGGGACTCTGCAGTCAAGCTGCATGGTCATATCTCCAATTTTATGTTATGATTTGGTCTTATGTGTATTACATCTGTAGTACAACCTATAAGTCCTTCAAGAAATCATATTGATTTGCTATTTGACTATTTAAATTGATTAAAATAGTTTGGCTGTGTAGACGACTTAAACATATAAAACATGTGGAAATTAAAAATGTGTACTATGTACTTACTCTCAGCCCCTACAATGGACTCTCTCATTCAGTTTGACCTAATTTAGAATAATAATTGTTTGTTTGTTTGTTTGTTTGTTTTTGAGACGAAGTCTCGCTCTGTCGCCCAGGCTGGAATGCAGTGGCACGATCTTGGCTCACTGCAACCTCTACCTCCCAGTTTCAAGTGATTCTCCTGCCTCAGACTCCCAAGTAACTGGGATTACAGGCATGCGACATGATGCCTGGCTAATTTTTTTTTTTTTTTGTATTTTTAGTAGAGACGAGGTTTTGCCATGTTGGCCAAGCTAGTCTCAAACTCCTGACAGCAGGTGATCCAGCCACCTGAGACTTAAAAAAACAAACAAGCAAACAAACAAAAAAAATTCTAAGTACAGCCTACTCTGCCCATATCAAGTATAATGCCATGGCTTTCAAGAATGATAATGTATATAGGCATTCTGTTATGGCCTTAGAAATTGTATATTTGAAAGAATTTTTTTCTTAAAATTTAGTCAGATAAGTTTTGAGTTACATTGTTTCATCAATTACAGAATGGAAAGGAAATTCAATAGGCAGAAGTCAATGACTTTTTCAAAAAAAACTCACATGTAACAATCCTCTGACAATATCCATATTGAACTCAGAGCGATACTGCAACATAATGCACACTGCACACATGTAGTATAGCATAAATTGAGCCCAGGAGTTCGAGACCAGCCTGGGAAACATGGTGAAACTGTTTGTACAAAAAAAAAAAATTAGCTTGGCATTGTGGTGTGTGCCTGTAGTCCCAGCTACTTGGGAGGCTGAGGCGGGAGGATTTCTTGAGCCTGGAAGGCGGAGGCTCCAGTGAGCCAAGATCTCATCACTGCCTGGGTGACAGAATGAGACCCTGTCTGAAAAAAAAAGCAAAATTCTGCTGAATTCAGTAGAAAGACCTGCTTGATCTGACTATACAACTTTCAAGCTTACTATAAAATGGAAAAAAAAAAAAAAAGCAACTGCCTAACTCACCAGAGTGTTGTAAAGATTAAAGACAATGAGACCCACTAGTGCCCAATAAATGTTAGCTATTTTTCTTATTCTTTAGACAACCTATGAAACATCCACTGCCTGCATCACATTGATTTTCCTAAAAATGGCTCTTTCTTCCTATAAGGTATCCAGTGATGCTTTGCCATCACTGTTTCAAAGAAGAACAGTGTATATAATTTTGCAGAATGGCTAAACAGTGAAAGATTCACGCTGTCTTGCTGCAAGAAATCCATTGTCGTTCTTCAAGAACTTTCAAGCAAGATGGAATTCACATATTCTCTCTGTCAATACCAAGGGATGGCTTTGAGCTTTTCAACATCTCTCTGTCATATCCTCTAGGATTAGAGGTTCTTACCTCAAGTAATGGCTGCTGGGGCACATATTGAGACACATTCTTTTCATCAAGAATAGGACAACCCTTCTCTGTTAGAATGAACAGGTTTTCTCTATTTAGCAGAGCAGGACTATCATGCTGAGTTGACGCTGAACTGGCAGCCTCCTATCTGGCAGCCAGCAGAGCTCTGGCTTGATTGTTTCATTTTCTTTGTAGTAGCTATTGTTTTTGTTATAGCATATGATAAGGATGAACCAACTTACTTAACCAGTCTGGGCCTCGATTTCCCCGTTAATAAAATAAAGGAGTTTCACTGGATAATTGCTATGAACACTTCTAACTAGAAAATTCTGATTCCAAACCAGCCGTGTCTTTAAAATGACATTTCAAGTAAAGAATATGCCTCTCTTGGTATAAAAATACTTATATTATATTTGCATTTCATATTTGGCTAGCCTCACGAGCCTCACTTTTGAGTCATTTTACCATCATATGTATATTCTTCTTCTTATTATTTTTTTTCAAATTCAGTGCCTTTTAAGCTGCAAGAGGGAGAAGTCCGCATTATTTCTCTGGAACAGTGTCAGTCCCACTTTGACATGAAGACCATCACCACTCGGATGATATGTGCTGGCTATGAGTCTGGCACAGTTGATTCATGCATGGTAAGTTGCTTTCTGGTTACCAAGGAGATTCATTTCAACAGTAACTTCAGTGGATTCCCATAAACTCATTATTACTCACGTACAGCCCTTTGGAAATATTTTTTGAAAATTGTTTGTTGCCAAATGTTTAATTATTTACAGCACATTTTCCTGCAGCTGGTACACAATTCTCCTAATTACACCCATCCTCTTTATTCAGGGTGCCTTCTACTGTCTCATCTACTATATGGGGAACATCACCCTTGGTCAGCAACAGGAGAAAAACAATTTTTCCTGTTCATGTCATTCAACCATTTTAGTGGTTAGGATAAACGAGGTTCTAAGAGGAGCTAGTAGTAACCATGGCTTCCACCTGGCTGCCCCGGGAAGCAGGGCAGGCATGAAAGGACATTGTCAGTCATTGGAGTGATGGCATTAAGACACACATCAACACCCCAACTTCCAGGGTGTGAGACAGGACTAACTCTGTCTCAGGGGTCATCACACTGGTGTTGTCTGGGCCCTCACTTGATTGCCAGCATGTCCTCAAATGTCACTGAACTCAACCTTTAGATACTCAGGATTCATAGCCATGAGAGTTTGTAGAACATATTAACGTAACAGTGTAGAGGTGCCTTTTTATTTTTACTTAATAGACACTCATCGAACATTATACTGTACTGGCTCCTAGGAAAGGAGGGAAAAGTGCAAGTGCTCAAATAAGCTTGTAACAAAAACTGGGGAAGACAGTTATTATACTATGCTGCTGTGAAGCACCTTTGTTATTTTACTGCTTTGGAGTAATTTGCCCACTACAGTTTAGTAATGAAGAAAAGATACAACAGTGCTCTTAAGTACTAACTCAATGTAAATACATTATATTTTTGATGATCCATTTTAGAATGGAAAAATCAGGGTATTGAAAATGGCCCTGTGGTGATTGCTTAGACAGTTGTCATGGGAAAGAGGGAGCAGACAGCTCCCTTGGCGTTTCACTGAGACCACCTTCCTTTCTGCCTCATGGCCTCACGTCATCCTGCTGAGGTGGGTGGTGGTAAAGGAATCCCTCCCTTCTCTACAGGAGGACTGGGTTTGATTTCCCAGGCCCAAAAAAAGTGTTGTAGGAGGCAGCATGATGTGGGTGTGGGGCACAGGATTTGAAGCCTGAAAGAGCTGGGTTGGAGCTCATCTCTGCCATTAAGACCAGTATAACCCGATGAAGTTATCTAACCTCTCTGGATAGCTTTCTCATAAGTAAAGTGGGACTAATTCTGTCCATGAAGATTAACTAAGTTAATGTATTTAGAAGCCTGTATCTTTCACATATCTGTATATGATATCTGGCACATACTTAGACATTCAATGAATAGTAATTACACCAATATTAAAATTTATCAGTTTAGTGCTTATTATGTTTCGGGCTCTCTGCAAAACGCTTTCTAATAACTCATTTAAATATCATAATCAACCCATATGGTGGTGTGTTTATTTTCCCTAAACAGATCAAGAATACAGGAGGTTAAGTAATTTTCCCCAAATCAGCCAGCATGAAGGTGGTAGATTGAGGATATGAAATCGGGCAGTCTGGCAGCAATGATTAATATAAATACATTTCTACCTCTCTCCAGTGTCATCTGGAGGTTTATCAAAAACTAGCACCTCTTGGCACATGTTCAAGATCATCTCTTGGCAATTGCTAAAGGAGGGGAAGGGAGATGATTCCTTGACAGAGAGCTGAAGGCCCACAGACACAGGCACGGGCATGTTCTTATCATGATGCCTAATAGGAACGAGGTCTTGCCAACTTCTTTAGTAGTGGGATTTCAGTGGTGTGGGTATACTAAATGCATACCAGATATTCTCTAACACAGCTTCAGGTAGAAAACAAAACAAACAAAACCTACTTTTTACTATATCAGAAGCAAATGTTTCTACTTAAACCTCTATTATATGACATATATTATTTTCCTTAATCATATCAACAGGACATAGTGAAGTGTGAGTTTGTCTGTGACAATCTATAAGCCAATACTGAAGCCAAATATGTTGGTTTCAAGCCCAATATTACAAAGAGGACCAAAAGAACAAACCAGATCCGTTGTGCCTTTAGCTGTAGTCTCACTTTCATTTTTAATTGCTTGCTTTTCACCTTATGTTTTGCATTTAATGGAGTGCCTACCTGACTCACTAAGCCTAAATCAAAACCTACATCTCAGGAAGGCATTTTTTATTCCTCTCCACCTGGATGTCATCACTCATTCCTTTGAACTCCTCTTTCTAGCCTTTAGATTTTGCTTTCATGTGAAGTTATTCTTGTTACCCAAGCTGACTTTAGGCTGCTCTGGGACAAAAATAGTGCTTGTTTGTTTGTTTATACACTAGCACAGAACTTTTCAAAGAGTAGATGCTAAATAATTATTTTATTAAATGTCTGATCTGGAAGTGAAAATGTGCTGACATTGTAAACATGTTCCATTTTAATCACCCTCTGACATCATAGTTCCACTTCAATAGGCGACCATCTTATTTATTTTATATAAGGAGAGATCAAGAATGAAATACCTTATGTGTATGAAATATGTGAAAACAAATTTGTGAAAACAGTTTGTGAAACGTTTCCAGGAAATTTTTCTTTTTTGTCTAAGCATTATATACATGTAACAAATAAATTTTGCTTTAAAAAATTCAATTCGGCTCTTAAGCAGAAAAAGTTATTCAGCTCTTTGCAAGTTCTATGCTTATGATTTTGGCTTAGGGTATTGGAAAGTTACAAATTCAAAGATCATCACTTACACAAAAGTGTACAGCACAAACAAAATTTTAATCTTTTTCTTCTTCTTCTTTTTTTTTTTTTAAGATGGAGTTTCACTCTGTCTCCCAGGTTGGAGTGCAGTGGTGTGATCTCAGCTTATTGCAACCTCCACCTCCTGGGTTCAAGCGATTCTCCTGCCTCAGCCTCTGGAGTAGCTGGGATTACAGGTTTCCACCACCAAACCTGGCTAATTTTTGTATTTTGAGTAGAGACAGGGTTTCACCATGTTGACCAGGTTGGTCTGGAACTCCTGACCTCAAGTCATCTCCCCGCCTCAGCCTCCCAAAGTGCTACGATTACAGGCTTGAGCCAGCGTGCCAGGCCCAATTTCTCTTTCATAGCAATAATATTCACGAATGTTCCTAAGAAGCAGGGTGGCCTAGTAATTATAGAGTTGGAGTCTTGTTACCAGGCTGCTTGGATTCAAATCCAGCCTCTGTCAATGAACAAGTTATTTAACTTGTGCTTCAGTTTCAACATCTCCAAAACAGATATAATAAATAATATAAACTCTTAGGTATTTTGTAAAGATTAAATGAGCTAATATGTGGAAAATGTTTAGAAGAAGATTGAGAAACATTAGTCCTATGTTCTTCAACAATACCAAGTAGGAAGACCATAGATATGCTTCTAATTTTGAAAGTCTGTAGATCAAGGAGTATTTGTAACCTTCCACAATGAATTCACATATTTACTTTTTTTTTTTTCCATGGTATCAGCTCTTCTTTTTCGAGGCAGTGCAGAATATACCTTTGTTTTCAGATGTAGCAAATATTGCTATTTCTAATGCCATAGCATTTTATTGTTAACTATATTTGGGGGAAAAACTGAATATAATTCAACTGGAATCCTTAAATATCATGAATGAAAATCCCTATATATATGAAATAAAATACAGGCTATTAATGAAATATTCATTATAAATAATTTTAAGTGGTCCTATTTTGTATTCAACTATGCCAAATTTAAAAGTCTTCAGAACTATTAAGAAGTGTAGTAAGGGACCCCAAATTGTGTTATACTTAATGTATTCATTCACAAAGCCAGATTCTTGAAAATAGATATTTTAGAATATGTTTGTAGTACTGTGTGTGGGGGGGATTTTATTCCATTTTGGGTAGTTTCCACAGTCATAAGTTAAACTGAAATTAGAATGAGGTCAATTTTGAGGTAATTAGTTCTGATACTTTTTAAAAGCTTTATGATATATTTTTGTAAGTGCAGAAAATGCCTGAAAAAGGTCTTTTAATTTTCTGGGGGAAAAAAATACAATTTCTTCCCAAGCCACTCTACCTTTTTAATGATCAGAGTTTAAGATGTTTATTTGAAAGTTCTATTTTTACAGCGGAAAGCACAATTCCTTCACAGGCTGACAAGGTCAGCTTTGTTGAAACTTTCCAAGTTGGTTAATCTGGGTTTAGCTTTATTGTATCCTCAGGATAGCATGGACACACATTACGGCCCTGAAATGCCAGTTACTAACTCCCATTGCTACTCATTGCAGGGCGACAGTGGTGGGCCTCTTGTTTGTGAGAAGCCTGGAGGACAGTGGACATTATTTGGATTAACTTCATGGGGCTCCGTCTGCTTTTCCAAAGTCCTGGGGCCTGGCGTTTATAGTAATGTGTCATATTTCGTCGAATGGATTAAAAGACAGATTTACATCCAGACTTTTCTCCTAAACTAATTATAAGGATGATCAGAGACTTTTGCCAGCTACACTAAAAGAAAATGACCTTCTTGACTGTGAAGAGCTTCCTGCAGACAGCTGTACAGAAGCACTTTTCACGGGTAGAAATGCTCAACCGTGCACTGCAAATTTGCATGTTTGTTTTGGACTAATTTTATTCAACTTATTTTTTCACCTTCATTTTTCTCTTATTTCAAGTTCAATGAAAGACTTTACAAAAGCAAAGCCAAGCAGACTTTGTTCTTTTGCCAGGCCTAAGCATGACTGCAGCACAAAATTATCAACTCTGGAGAGATTGAAAATCATGCAGGTGCTACAGTAACAGGTTATGGAATGTTCTCTTTTATCCTATCACAAAAAAAGACATAGAGATTTAGGCTGACTATCTCTGCTAGTTTTTGTTTCTCAAGCTCAGTGCATAGTGGTAAATTTCAGTGTTAACATTGGAGACTTGCTTTTAATTTATTAAAAGCCAAGATAATTTACACATTTGAAGTATTTACTATTACCCTTCTAATG